CATGAACACACGAACTTAAAGTAATTCTTCTGCTATTGATATGCAAATAAAACTACTCGGCTTGTTTGCTTGCCACAGAGGATTCCAATATTTATTTCTATATTTGCATTTTATTTAGGGTTACAGAAAAGGGCAAGACATGTACAAGGCCTTTTATAATCCCAATCTAAACTACACAATAAATAAAGTTGAATTTGTATTCAATTCAATTCAACTCAATTAAAACGCAACCCTATATAGAGTAGCAACTTAAGTGTGTTAAATTATATTTAATGAAGGCATGAGTTTAAATAAACTGCATTCCTGTTAGGATAACAATGTAGTGTACAATCCAAAATCGCGGTTTAGTAGTGGACGATTCGGCCGGAACAATCGATAGCCCAGTTAATGCGATGGGAACTGAAAATTAAAGTGAGAGTCCGGATAATAGAAACTGTCGTGAGATTTATATCTATCTGTTCAAGCGAAGATAATGAATAAATATAAGTTTATTATCTGCGTGTCTCGCCTTAACAGTACTCGATATGTACGACACGATACCGTTTGACCGCTTAGGTTGCCCTAGTTCATCGCGGCGCATGGTAAACAACGTCACTTCAACGTCGTGATCGAGGTGATTGCTACACCTACCTATCGCAGTGACATTGTGATCAATCAATAACAGATTCCCTAGCAATAAACGTAATGTTGCAATTCGGGTCAGGTGAGAAGTGTCGATATGTTTATTAGTTTCGAAGTGCGGAAAAGGGGACTCATAATTCGGTCTCCGTTCGTCCGTGCGTCCGTGTGTTTGTGCGTCCGTGCGTCCGTCCAGAGTCATATCTTAAAATCCCTTGGACCGATTCCGTTCATTCTTTGCATGTGTATAGCACTTTATGTGGGACATATGCAAATGCAGTGGTTTAGCGATTCGATTCAAAATGGCCGACTGGCAGCCATCTTGTTTTTTAAAAATGTTGTATTTTGGACATGTTTTGTCAGTTTTCATTCAAACTTGGTACATAGATTATACATGTTAGGATACATGTCCCCGACCGTCCGTGAGTTCCCGAGTCTGTCCATCCGTGTGTCCGTCTGTCCGTCCGTGCGTCAGTCTGTCCAGAGTCATATTTCAGAATCCCGTGGACCGATTCCGTCCATTCTTTGCATGTACCTAGTACCTTGTGTGGGACATATGCACATGCAGTGGTTAAGCGATTTTATTAAAAATGGCTGACTAGCAGCCATCTTGTTTTTTTGAAAATGTTGTATTTTGGACATACTTTGTCAGTTGTCATTCAAACTTGGTACATAGATTATACATGCTAGGATACTTGTCCATGACGATTTATTTTGCAATTGGATCAAAGATGGTCGACTGGCAGGCATCTTGTTTTTTTGGCATATACATCATACATATCAGTGTGTTTCATAATCAGATCAAAGATGGCCGAATAACGGCTGTTTTTATTTTTGGCCATATTACTACTACACGGAACACGTGTTTTGATGTAAATAAACAATCTGTTGTATACGCCACTTGGAACTCAAGTTTCAAGGACACTCTCGCGACAACCCCTCTGCTTTAATATGACGAGCACAAAGAGAACTTTCAAAAATTTAATGGGTACTGTGTCATTTTCAATGACTTGTTTATTTGGTATGAACAGTTAATAATTAATTTCTATTTGGTGAGAAATGTTAATGAGAAATGTTGCAGATTTAGGAATAGACAAGTATGTTTTTCATAGTCATAATTACTAGATTCAGACTAAACTTGTTATGTTTTGTCGAATTGGTAAATTTGAATTTTAACAGTTCATTACGTTCAGTCATTTTAGTGTCGCATTTTATCGGTTTTGCTTACAGTAAATTGATCAGTCATATTTCTCAGTTTGTATAAGGTGCGTCATAGACAGTGAACCAGTTAAACACTGGTTCAAAGCAGAGTGTCACAGTTATCACTGTATGCTATTAAAGCTAAGTATACTACTTAGGTGTTTAAACATTGCGGCATAGCGTCGTTGTGCAGTACACAGTGTCAGTCCACAATATTACAAAGTGCTTTGTTATCCATGCAGTAAAAAGCAAAGCAAATACGTGTACGGAGCAGCGTAACATCAGGAAAATGAAATTTTCCAAATACACAATGCGTTTTTGGTGTCACTGAACAGCGCCATTGTACTGACATAGATTTGTCGTCTGCTACGCGTGTTCCGAATGTTTGACCTAATGATACCACTTGTGACGTCAGAGACAAATACTCCCAAAAGAGTTTAATTTTATGTTCATGCCGCGACACTTTATCAATAATGACGTGACCATGTTTTGACAAATCAAACATTCTATGTGATAAATGTAGCAGAAGTGAAGACTTTCGCGAATATAACTATACAAATGAACCTCCAATCTCCCCTTCTAAGGTAAATTGTAGACCTGATAAATAGGGAAGAATTTGTACACAATTTTGTCACTTTTGTTTTTTTCGCTAAAATGCCTAAAATAATGCACATAATCCAATGTTATGTCACGTTAAATCTGTACTTTACTGAAAGGGAATAGTAATGAATGTTCTAATAATTCTTGACAATCATATGTATCCGTCATATGTACATATCATTTTTTCACAATATTTACCAAACAATATTTTAGGATATGGTAAGAAATTTTCGCTACAAGAATAAATAGTAAATGTCTCAAAGACCGTCATTTTTATAGATGTTTGAGCTGTGGGAAAAGTAGTTCGGTGAATAACTATTTTGATTTGTTTTAGTGGTTGCGATAAGTTTAAAGGTCGGTGGTCGTCGCGTTGCGCATGTGCGACATTTGTTTGGGGAGGTGGTCACAATCAAAAAGCGGTTTCTGGCCCGGTATCCGCGGAGCTCCGGGGAGCCACCATGTCCTACGAGGAGCTCCGCGGACCTCCGCCGATTTCACTCATTAGCTTTTAATGCGGTCACTCGAAAACACCCTTTTCTTTTTGTCCGAATACGAATAGATTCGACTCGTCAAGTAGAAAAAGTAGCTGCCCGGTGTTTGAAAAATAAATAGAAATTGGTTCAAAGTTCAAGCAGAGATTCCTGTCCTGTTAGAGATTTTCAATTTGTGTTTAGCGCCAGTGCGTCCAAGTCAACGAAGACGTCTTAGTTATATTAATGCATCTTGATATTGATGGTTTGACGTAATGGTATTTTTCCAGCGTTTTGTCAAAGTTGTGTTGTAACGAAGTTATAAATTACGGCGTTATATAATGCAATTATTATTATAATTATAGTTATTAATAAACTGTGTATTGCCGATCCGTTTCATTAAAGTTGCGTTTTTATTTCAGTGAGATAAACAAATGTTCGTATTTATTAAGACATATGTGTTCATTCAACTCAGAGCATGATAAGTAATCCGATGTTTTACGTCAACAATGCAACGTGTTACAGCAAATATTTACGGCCCATAATTTGGTGAAATTTACGCATGAAAACAGTATTGTTACGTGACCTGGAGAAAGTCGCTTACACGTATTTGAACTTCATACCTAGAATTTGCAGAGACGCATAATTCCGTTTTGTCGGCAAAGCACGAATTTTTTATTTCAGTGCGATCCCCTATCATTTGTTTTTCCATTATTTGGAAATAATTGTTTATATTAATTACTATAATGCAAGTCGCAAGTGACACATCAACATTTACTCCCCGCAATTTTGTGACTACACGACGCTAAGGAATAGGTCAGCAGAGACCTTGGTACAATGTCCTAAAATGTACAAACGTTTAAATATAGCGTATTTTCGTTTAAGTTGTCCAATTGAATGAGATGTTCTTTTGGAGTTACGACACAGGTTTTTATTTTGTCCCAGTCTTCTGCCGAAAAAGAGGCGTCGCACTGAATTTCCAGCTCATGAATGTTCTTGCATAAATTTGCATATCACGCTGAGCTCCTCGGCACAGCAGAAGCATAGGTCTTCTCGTACCAGATTAGGAGCATATGAGATTAGTTACGTTCAAATGTTAACGTCTAATATAACCCTTGTCTATTTCATTGTCCCAACAGCGCTGTATTATTTGTTCTGCATCACTCGGTATCCACATTCTTCATGTAAAACAACAATGCATTATTATAATTTCTAACGAGGTAAGTACATTAAAGATACATTGACATACTTAATGAAAGGCATTTATAACACAGTCTCGCTATATATGTATAACATACTTGAGTGTTCAACATTTAAACTTGTAGTTAATCATTGCTCAAAATGTATTCATTATAACATACAGACTAACAGCATTTCGAATCACATTTCGATAGAGCGATTATATATGGAATCAAGGGTCTTGGAAAAGATCTCCAAACGAAATATAACAATATAAAAATAACGATAACAAAATAACGATATCAACAAAGAAGAATTGTAAAATTATGTGGAACTCGGGAAATTATGAAAACTTAATCAAGTGTGGTCATCTCGGATACAACAATAAACACATGCATAATACATTCACACTTTTCACGCACCAAACGCTAAAGAGTACAACGAAAGACATATCTGAACAAATAAAAAAGGAAAAGAAATATACTTCAGTTCTTTTTCGCTCTTCGATTTCGGCTTACTACACTTTGACGTCATGTTTTGCGAGGACGGACTTTTAATGACAAGGTATATGATTTAATTGTTGTTTCATATCGCACAGTCTGAAAATACATATCAAATTCCAAGATGAAGAATTACTGTAATCGATGGAAATGCTCAGATTTCACACTGTTCGTTCCTCTGACGCTGGTAGGATGGGTCGGGTACGCCGGTATATATTCCAGTGCGTTGTCACATCAATGGAAATCTTTAGTCGTCGGAGCTGGAATGTCATGGCTTCAAACAAGGTATGAATCATTAAAAGGAATAATGCACGTAGCTGATGCATAATGATACAAGGTCAATATTCCTTTGTTGATGTAGCAAACAATATTTTCATATACAACATCCATTCCATGTTATGCAATGCCAATATAATCTTGTTTTTATCTGCAGTGAGACCACAACGTCAACTACAAGACTACAGATTGCCACCCACACGAACATGTCCGGAAATGGCTCGGAGGTTATTGGTGAAAGAAGTGAATTAAGGTAGATGATCATTGGATGGTTTATTATATAAAGTTTAGTTAAGTATATTATAAAACTAATCAGGACCAATTGAATTGTATTTGACATTGATGCCATTTCGTCGGAGCTAGAATATCATGGATTTAAACAAGCTATGAATCATTAAAAGGAATAATGCACGTAGCTGTTGCAGAATGATACAAAGTCAATATCCTTTTGTTGATGTTGCAAAAAATATTTCTATATACAACATCCATTCCATATTATGCAATGACATAGGGTGACAATATAATCTTGTTTTTATCTGCAGTAAGAACACAGCAGCAACTACAAGACTACAGATTGCCACCCACACAAACATGTCCGCAAATGGCTCGGAGGTTATTGGTAGAAGTAAATTAAGGTAGATGATCATTGGATAGTTTATTATATAACGAGCTCGCATCCACGGGATGAGTTTTAGCTCTCATCTATAAATTTAGCTCATTTTTATAATGTACAAATTTCACCTATAAAGTTGGTTTCTGTTCTCATTTATGAGTTTTAGCTCAGGGTGTTAACTCCTCACTAAATAAGTTTCATATATCGTTTATTAGTATTAATGTTCACCCGCGAATGAGTTGAAACTCGTCTACAAAAAGGAGTTGAAATGATTATGTGGGTGTCGGGAACACGTAGCGATACATGATTGTGCCATGTCCCTCGTCAAATGTAGGTTTCATTGCGCCCTCATTTCTGTAAAAAAATAACGATGACATTTCGAATATCACTTCTGTATTTGCTCACTGTATCTCCTTATACATCGCCTCAGTGATTACGTGCTTCTGTGACGTCACATGACGTTGGCGTGATTGGTTGCGTAGTCGTTCGTCATTTAGAAGATAGTGAATCTCTCATTAACATATTAGCAATGAATCAAAACGACATCGGTGATGTGAACGATCTTACTATCATTCAATTACGTCATAGAAACTTGTTGTCCATTGCCAGATGGCGCAATTTATAGGGAAGTCGTATTGATTACAGTTGTTGACAAAGCAACATGAATGCAACATTTATTTAATTCAACAGTTTCGTTATCTGCATCTTTATGATTTATTCAACAGGATACTTGTATCTACGAAGTACCATAATGCAGACATTATAAAAGTCTATTTAAAAAATGTTCCCATGGAAAATATGACTTTCGGACTTAATAATTCGACAAGGGATGAAGGCATTACACATGCACTACCAGCACAAAAGACGTGCGCTCTAATTGGTAATGGAGGAATATTGTTAAATAGCAGTTGTGGTGAAGAAATCAACT